CCGGTGTAATATGTTCTTTGGCCTTACTATTTTCCACTTCCCTTCAGGATCCCAAGTTAGAGTTTGCCTCGTGATGCAGTTTGGTGATTTGCGTAATGTATGTCCTATCCATTTCCATCGTCTTTCCCTAATTTCCTCTTCACATGGAACCTGGTTTATTCTCTCCCACAAAAGGCTGTTGCTGATGGTATCCGGCCAATGGATGTTAAGTATCTTGCGTAGACAACTATTTATAAATACTTCCACCTTCCTAATGATAGTTGTGGTGCTACTCCAAGTTTCAGCTCCATACAGTAGAACTGCCTTGACATTCGTATTTAAGATTCTCACTTTGATATTGGTTGAAAGTTGTTTTGAGTTCCATATGTTTTACAAATGAAGGAATGCGACCCTTGCTTTGCCAATCTTAGCCTTTACGTCTGCATCCGAACCTCCTTGTTTATCGATGATGCTTCCCACGTATGTGAAGGATTCCACATTTTCCAGCTTTTCGCCATCCAGTGTGATTGGGTTAATAAGGGAATAAGTAAAAATATATCATAGTCTAATTGACCTTTAAAGTAAAAATATGATCTTGGATACAAATATAAACTCATATTACCATTATTCAATGAAATAAAGAATACACCTGTTAAATGTAAGTACTTTACAACTTGGTAATTAGAATGTATCCGTTTTTTTCCACTAAACCATCTGGTTCTTTAAGTATCTTTGTATAGATGTAATGATAAGTAAACATGTGGAGGAAAAAGTCGATTGTTTACTAAATTATTCTTTTAATTTATGTCTCTATATTTATATGAATCGATGTCTATTGTCTATTAACATGAATAATATAAAACAGTAACAGATATCTGAATCAATATTTTTGCAATAATTAATTTAGGTATTTTTGTTACTAGTATAATTGAAATCTAATAGTTGGTAGCTCTTGTACTCTACTCACAATTGATTGATCACAAGGTGGTGCATCAATGTCATATGTGTCAAGTCCTTCTTAGTGCAAATCGAATGCTATCGACCAAGTGACACAGGATCAAATCAGTCAGGGAGCACCTGTTCCCTCAAGATTACTGGTATATCCTGCTGACAAGTGCCAAGTAGCACGAAACTTACGTCCAGGTTTTTCTGTTGACTACCTCCAATCATAATCTTATCTCAACTTGTACCCCACAGTTTATTTCTATACTGGGATACACATCGAAAAATTTAGCAGGGAACTGATCTCTATAGCTTAGTGGATAACGTGTTGATATTTGCGGAAAAAAAGTATTGAAATTAAGTGTCAGTGTCTGCTTCATCTAATTACAATTTCATTCAGTCGTATAGGTCATGATTTTTTGATTATCAATTAGATGAATCTGTCTTAAATTTACCAATTTGTAAGGAAATAAGAATTCAATGATTAAATCCACTTGGTTTTGTTTTATTTGTATCTTCCTATTGATATTGAGGATTGTAATTGATCAGTCTCTTGTTGGCCTCGATATATCCTTAAATCACAAGCTTTTTAAGCAAAGATGGATAGTGGCTAACAGTGGAATCCAAGACTTAGTAGCTAAGTGAATAACGCGATGGTATTTAAATCGAACAGTATTGGGTTCAAGTTTCGAAGAGAACATCAACTCTACGATGCAGGTACATTCAACTGATGAGTTCCAAATAGGACGATATGCATGTCCTAGTCACTATCCATCTTTGGTTAAGAATTCAATGAGTTTTTCTTCCACTTACTTCTTTGAAACATTTCTCTTCTATAATAGTTATGGATTTTATATTTATGTGTAATCTTATTATATGACTGAATAAAGGATATCACTTAATAAGGTATACTTACTTACTTATGCCTGTTACTGCTAATGGAGCATAGGCCGCCGACCAGCATTCTCCAACCCACTCTGTCCTGGTATACCATCATCTAATATTATATCAAATCATTTCAATAATGAAATCCGATAAAAGACTGTCCTTTCTCTCTCTTTATTTCATTCATTCGTCTGCACTTTTATGTTACTTTTCTTTTTAAAATGTCTTATTTACCTATTTATTTCTATAAGAGTCTATTTTACACTGTTGTCTTTCCTTCCAATTCAATATTCTTCTTTCATAAAAGAAAAAAAAAGAATGATTTTCTTACATTGTAGCAAAATTTGAGGTAAACTCTCTTTCTCTCTCTCTCTCTCACACACACACATTCTCTATTTCGTCAAAACAGTTGTTGCTTTTTCAGTATACTAATCTTTTCATATTTCATTATGGTTAATATAATACTAGTAGTAACAATAATAAGTAGTATTAGTAATCTTTATCAATGTAATTATACATATATATATACATCTTTTGATGTATCAAAAATGCATGTATGTATGTATGTATGCGTTGATGCATATAAGCAATTCGATTGCTTATATACATACATTTGGTTCCATATATACATATACAAGAACTATATAATGTGTATATTTGCATTGAACTATCAATGTTACCAAGGTTGATAAGATTTATGACATGACAGAAATTATTTAAATACCAAGAATGAACAGTTTTCACTTTATGTATATATATCACGTTTTAAGAATCACCTTGAATGTGCATTCTTTTTTTAAACTCCAGTTTTCCTTCTATATATGATGATGTATCGATCAGTTTCTATGAAAATGTATCACAACAATGTGATGTTTTTGTGTTTGTATATTTTGTCTTCTTTTTCTTTTTCTTCTTTTTCTTCTTTCTTTCTTCTTATTCATTTGTCAGTTAGTTATAACTTATTATTCTTGTGTATCACTATCATTGACTTCACAACATTTTGTATCTGTGATGTACGTTATTGAATGATAATCTATAATTGAATGATCGTTTTTTTTTGGTATGATTCAAACTACTCAATTATTCAGTAGTCTAATCAGTAGTTTCTGTTTTTTCAAAAAAATATTTTATTTTAATAATCTAATATGATTGTTTTTCTTTTTGAAGTTATGAATTCGATCATCTCTATTACCAAAGATCTAACTAAGCTATTAGGATTATGAGCTTTAATTTTATTTTTTAGTATTATGATGAATGGGTTCCTTTATTGATTGTTGAGTTTTATAGTTTACATCATCAGAGGAACTTTCTTACATAATTGTTGTGAACTAGAAAGTTGTAAATAGATTTTGGATATTGTAAGATATATTTTGAAGATTTTCTGTATGAAAATCCCTTCATGTTAACACATGTAATTTGCTTCTATTGATTCCTTCAGTTGTTGTTAGTCTTTCTGATTCCATTTGAAATAGTAATATTTGTATTTTATTGTAGTTCTTGTTTTCTTTACGCTTTCACCGAGTCTTCATGTTTCTTCCTGAACTGCATTTATGCTGTTTTAGTTGATATTTATTCTTGGCGGAAACCATATTGATTTGTTCCCCTTTTGATTGTGTTGCTTGCATTGACTGGAATTGTGCATTTTTGATTATGAATTGAAGTACTCTTCTAGAATTGTAAACATTCTGTATTATAACACAACCAAATACTATCTTTCGAACGAATCTGTACGTGATCTATCCAGAAAGGATAGACTAACATTTATATGTTGCGAATGATTTGATTAATTGAACAAATAGTGGTTCAATAACTGAATGAACCGCCATTTACCCTATCACCTTGTTTTGGTTTCAACTGGGCAATAGCGCGTATGTAAACTACCTAGACAGTTATTCTTCAATCCAAACCTTAGTTTGAATTCTATATATACATATTGATGAATATTCAAATATAAGCATAGAACAACTGTTAAATGATTTTGTAACTAAGGTCAGTTCGTGATGTAAGTATGCCGATTAATTTGAATGATTAGAGACGTTACAACCAAATGTTACTCACTCAAATTTAATGTAGACTAGTATTATAGGCTTTAAAAAAAATCCACATTATTATTAAATATTTGTTCTGACTGATCATTTAATCATAAACAAATATTACATTGTCTAATGTTAATTCTGATGGAAGTCCTTTTCGGATATGGCTAATAATCTTTGTTTCGTTTCACTTCATATCGAGGTTAAGTTGACGGAAAACTCCTATAGACCATAGTTCTATCATGATTGTCATTTCATCATCAAGATGTATTTTACTTATTTACTTATTTACTTACTTACTTCCGTCTGTTACCCCCAACGGAGCATAGGCCGCCGATCAGCATTCCCCAACACACTCTGGGCCTTCCTTTACAATTCTATCCAATTTTTGTTTATTCTTCTCATATCTGTCTCCATTCCTCAGCGTAATGTGTTCTTTGGTCTTCCTCTTCTCCTTTGGCCTTGAGGATACCATGTAAGGACTTGCTTTTTGACACAGTTCGGTGCTTTCCTCAATGTGTGTCCCATCCACTAAGATGTATCTATGACCATGAAGAAAATACCTGTGATCAATTAGATGCAAGTTTTCGTATAGTAACGAACAGAAGAATTCAAAATATGTGCTTAATCCTATTTGAAACTAATCAGCTGGATGTTCCTAGATCTCCAGTACTAATGTTCATATCGAGACTTAAATAATCAACGCATTATCCACTAACTTTATAAATTCATACAGCCAACAAACTTCTACATATATAATTACCATCATCATGTTTATATTTAAATACCAAAACTAAGATAAACACTTACTACTTACTATTTTTCAGTAGTTTCTAAACTTTTATTATTCATTAAAAAGAAAATGTAAATATTTTCTTTTCTCTCCAAAGAGAAAAGTAGTTTAGACTCAATAAAAGAAGAAAAAAATAACTAAATCAATGAATTCCAGTTTTGTGATGATTTCAACCAATTTATCATATCACATAATTAGAAAGAAGTAATTTATTCAATATTTTGATAGATTAGGTCAACAATACAAATGAAGAATTCAATTTAATTTGGATTTGTATAATCTAAAATATAAAAAAATAATAACGTATTTTATTCCTAGAAAAGTTTGATGATTGAACGAAAATCTGGAGTTTATATGATCCTTAATCTTTAAACGTCGTCGTCGTTGTCGTTGTTGTTCTTGTTGTCATCATCATCATCATCATCATCATCATCATCATCATCATCATCATCATCATCATCATCATCATCATCATCATCATCATCATCATCATCATCATCATCATCATCATCATCATCATCATCATCATCATCATCATCATCATCATCATCATCATCATCATCATCATCATCATCATCATCATCATCATCATCATCATCATCATCATCATCATCATCATCATCATCATCATCATCATCATCATCATCATCATCATCATCATCATCATCATCATCATCATCATCATCATCATCATCATCATCATCATCATCATCATCATCATCATCATCATCATCATCATCATCATCATCATCATCATCATCATCATCATCATCATCATCCTTCTGAAGGAACCAATTTTCATGTCTGGATAATATCTTATTTACTCGAGTAGTGTACATACTTGGGAAGGGATAAATATTTTCAGTGAGGAATCGTATGTTAATGGAAATCTAAAGGATGAGCTGTTAGGATTTGCTACCATTAAATGGGTAAAATACACTTCTAGTTTTTATTTTTATTTTAACAAGTGCACGTTATATTCACACATGAAATACATCAATCAAATCGGTCAGTGCATCTTATAGGTATTTTCAGCACGATTAATCTAGAATTACGGTAGAGTAGTAAACTAGGCTGATCTCCATTGACTATTAATGTTAATTTATAGGATACAGTTCCACTATTTTTCGAGAATAGCATGAGGATGTATGTCGGATTTTGCCGAGAAGTGGTTAGGTATGAAGAAAATTATTGAAATTCTATTGAGAAGTCGTAATTAGTTTCTAATCATGTGGAAAGTGATCTAAAAGTAACCGATGACATTAGTTCATGGATGCAGTATGTGAGAAATATAGACTAGTGGATTTCAGCCCTATAATTTAACGATAGTACCCTTATTTGCTGAACTTTGAAAATCTTAGAAGAAGAGGAAGACCAAGGAACACATTACAACGAGAAATGGAAACAGACATGAGGAGAATGAAAAACTATTAGATAGAACCAGAAAGAAAGGTGTAGGACACAATGAGTTGGAGAATTCTGGTTGGCGGCCCATGCTCCTTTAGGGGTGACAGGCGTAATTAAATAAGTGATCGTTAAATATCTGTTGCCACTGAGTATTGAAGATATTACAAGAATATTGAAAAATCGATCATATAGCATGATTTTTTGTTAAATTCCAGTTAATAGTTTATTCGAGTGAAATGTATGATGATTGGTTCAATCTTTCAGAAATAATTCCATTAAAATTGGATTGAAAGTTTAAGCACAGATTTTAGTTCGAACCTCATAACACTTACTTTACTCTAACAGTCGAATATTATCAGTAATACTTATAAAATGAATGACTTAGTGCGGAATAAATTACCTTGTATTATATTATCATCGAATACTGGAATTAAAAACCAATTATTATTCCGTTCTTATTATTAAGTCTGTTGTGATAAATAGATGAGGAGTCCCACAATAGGATGAAACAACCGTTCAGTCCTTCCAAGTTTTCCACGGTGGTCTAACTTCAATTAACTCATGATCTCAACTATTGAAATAGATATGTCATTAACATTTTAGTACAAGTATAACATACACTTTGAAGTATATCAATGAAATAAACTTATAAATTACACTAATTTAATATTTACAAAAGGCATACTTCAACAAACTAGAATAATTTTGATAAGTGATGCCTAGTGATAATTGACTAAAAATTCTAGATCTAAAACTCCTTACAATTCATACTCATCAGTAAAATGTACCTGTACTTTTAAGGGAACTTATTCTCTTTAACAAATTCAATATTTTATCGATCACTTTCATACTTACTAACTAACTAACTAACTAACTAACTAACTAACTAACTAACTAACTAACTAACTAACTAACTAACTAACTAACTAACTAACTAACTAACTAACTAACTAACTAACTAACTAACTAACTAACTTACTTACTTACTTACTTACTTACTTACTTACTTACTTACTTACTTACTTACTTACTTACTTACTTACTTACTTACTTACTTACTTACTTACTTACTTACTTACTTACTTACTTACTTACTTACTTACTTACTTACTTACTTACTTACTTACTTACTTACTTACTTACTTACTTACTTACTTACTTACTTACTTACTTACTTACTTACTTACACCTGTTACTCACAATGGAGCATAGACTGTCGAATAGCATTCTCCATCCCACTCTGTCCTGAGCTTTTCTTTCTAATTCTAGCTGTTCGGTTCATAACTGATCTCCTGTATGACTGAGTTGTATATACAACCAAACCATGAAATCCATATCAGAAAGGTCTTTTTTTATTGCATCAATAAAAACAAGTCAAAAGAAGTTGATGAATAACACAAAAGAAAAATTATCATAAACATTAAAATATCATCAACATCTCATTATCAGTTTTTTTTTATTTTATTTTTTTGTGTGGAGAATATTTTTTGTTGTTGAAAGAAAAATCATTAATCCGATTTATTTTCCTGATTGACCCCCCCCTCCTATTACTCACAATATATTTAACTTAAAGGAAAAGAATTATCTATTGCGTGAAACTGATTACATGTATAGATGTATGTATCTATGTATGTATGTGCGTGCGTGTGTATGTGTACGTACGTAGGTTCGTTTATGATGCATATTCATGCCATCATGGGCACAAATCTGCGTGTATACATGTCAATTTTATGATTTACCAATTCATGGGAAAAAGATAACCATAAGATAAGTTGGTTTTGTTCTTTTTTCTTGAAAAAAAAAGTCGATTCAGAAAAGGTGATCAACACCGAATTAGGCACAACTATCATTATTATTATTATTATTATTATTATTATTATTATGAATATTTAGTATTCATATCATAAACATTACCACTATCATTAATGTGGACATGTTTTCTTTTTGCCTAACTGATGACAATAGTAGTAAACTTGTATATAAAAAAAAATATAAAAAAAGAAAAAAAAAGAGATCAATCACTGAAAGTGTACATAAAGAAGAAGAAAAAAAGATTAAGATTATCTACTTGCTTTTAACTATTGAATAATATGAACAAAAGACTAATCAAATCTAATATTCAATCTTAATATCTTTATCTATTCATTATGTCAGTGGATTACAACACTTTTAAACTAAGAAAAAACAAACAAAAAAGAATAATGATAGGGAATTCATGCAAAAAGAAATAATTGAAGCAAAATATTATTTTAATAATTAAGGATGATGATATGAATAAAAAAAGAATAATAGAAAATGCTGATACTCATATTCCTTCTTCTTCTTCTTCTTCTTCTTCTTCTTCTTCTTCTTCTTCTTCTCCTCCTCCTCCTCCTCCTCCTCCTCCTCCTACTACTACTACTACTACTACTACTACTACTACTACTACGGCTCAGCAGTTCGTTCCGTCCTACTTTATGGCAGTGAAACATGGTCAGTAAGAGTAGAGGATATTCGTAGGTCACTATTATTTGATCATAGATGTCTTCGAAATATTGCTCGTATATCCTGGGACCATCGAGTAAGTAATGCAGTTGTTAGGAAACGGGTACTAGATAAGGATGGCAAATCAATTGATGACGTAGTGAAAGTTCATCAGTTGAGATGGCTGGGACATATATTACGTATACCCAACCAACAACTACCTCGACGAGCGATGTTTTATGGTGTAGGAGTAGGTTGGATGAAAGCTACGGGGGGGGGCAAGACCAAAACATGGCACAGATCCACAAATCACTGACAAGTGGACTGAGCCATGTTGGTAGATGTAGACTGCCTGGTTGGGATCCGCGAGACGATAAGAACCGATGCAACGGCGCAGATGCCTCCAATTTTTGTGTTCTCCCAAATTCTAATCTTCTGGATTCTTCATGTCACTCTTTTCTCTTCTCATATTTATTCCACTGAATTTTACTCCTTGAATAACATCTTAAAACCCTAATCTTTCCGATTACTGCTTATACTTTTGCTACCGCTACCAGTATGTGATTTGAACGTACAACTGCATCACTGTGTTAATGTAATGTGATATGACAATTCGAATTGACGTACGTACGTACAAAGTTCTACGTTGTTAATGAATGACTTACTATTACTATTACCACAACTACTACTACTACTACTACTACTACTACTACTACTGTGGTGGTGGTTGCTACTCACAACATTTCTTTTAACTAGTATCATGCGGAACATGGAATTGAAGTTGTTACACTTTGAATTGCAGAACACTCCACAAATGGATGATCAATGACTAAGTATACGTAACGTATAAACACTAATTTTTATTGATAATTAATTCTTTTGACCAGTATTTTGTTCTATATTACCAGTACTACTATATTTCTTTTTACGAACTAATTCTTTCTTCCTGTATTATATCCTTATACACAATCTTTCTTTCAAATATTACCACCATTGAAGTGACTACTTCTATGAATTCGGTGTTCATCTTGTTGTGCTAAATAGGTGTGACAAATTAGATCGATGCATAAATGTGCCTGGTCCTACATTGTAGCTGACAGACTACCAAGAGTAATGTTATCACTAACTTCACTTTCAGCCTATTTACAAACTACGAGTTCATGTAATCAATGTTGAACAATATTTCGTACTGTATGACCATTAATCATATTATCTCATCAAAATCAATATTATTAGAACACAGGTTCAAACCTAGAATTTTACGATTGTAAATTGATCACTTTGACTCTAAAGTAACCACTTCACTCTTATTATTGTTATTACTATGAATTCATTTAGTAAACACCAAATTATGTATCCAATTTTGAGATATACTTTTATATGATACTATTTAGCTACTCAAACTAATGTACGTAAGGTGGGGTTTGAACTTGCAGTGTAATAGTCTAAAGTGAAATGTTTTAACCACATGAATGTTTATTCAGTTATTACTATTATTATTATTATTATTATTATTATTATTATTATTATTATTAACAAAGATGGATAGTGGCTACCAAAGGAATCCAGGACGCGCGTTTCGTCCTATTTAGGACTGATCAGCTGAATGTACCTGCATCTCAATGTTGATTTACTGTGTTCGAGTCTCAGAGTGAACATCAATTCTGAGATGCAGGTAAATCCAACTGACGAGTCCTTAACTCAACCACTAAGCACAATCCATTCTTGCTTAGAATGTTTGTGAATTAAGGCAATACCAAAGCAATACACATAGTATTAACAAATACCAACAAGAGACTGATCACTTGCAGTCCTAAACATCAATGGTAAGATTCAAGTAAACAATACCAGTGGAGTTCAACCGCGTCAGTTGTGAGGTAGTAACTCATTGATGACAAGGGTGGATTTGTCGCTCAATTTCGTGGATTAGTTGAAGTTAGACATTAAAATCGTTGAATCCCGTCCAGCT